GTCGTAATACTATACTCTTTACATGAAAAAGCCTGCAGTTGTCACTGCATTAAAATGAGGAACGTTGAGCAATTTGTTCTTTTATGTTGCTTAAAATAAATAGTTAATCTTTTAGCACATTAGCGTCTAATTATCGGTAGCAGGACTTGCAAAATTGTGCAAACTACAGTAAACTGAAGCTGCATTGTAATTAATGGATGCATTGACAGATTTAGTCATCACGTAGCTAATTTGGATGAAAGCTTATTAATCTAACAGTGATCCAAGTCATCATGGACTACTTTATAAACACAGAGACATGGCTGTACACAGCAGGTGTGGAGAAAATAAGGAGGTGTTGAAGAAATATTTATTAACGGCAGAATTATTTCCAGCACAGGAGGAAATGAGAAATGGAAAATGGACACGTCGTGTAAGATTTTGACATTTTTTTCCACAATATTGTGACTTTAATCTCGTAATATTATGACTTTATTGTCATAATAATGATAAAATAAAGTCTTGTTGTGTGGCCCTAATACTTCATTTTAGTTTTGGAAGAATCTTTAGCCAAGCTAGGGATATCTCTCTCTGGGCTGCTACTTTTGGTGACTGGTCAGAACATAAAAATTGTAAGAAACTAAGACATTTCCAGTTTGGAACCAGTCAGGGGTGCTGTTGCATTTCAAAGAGTCAGTTTCCAAAAATCACATTATTTTATTGCCCACCGCCTGGTTTGTTTGCAGCCAACATATCATTTATGATTAATTCTATTGGAGTACACGTTTACACTGAAGATTGGAATAGTTTGAAGGAGTATTTAATAATACCCACCCAGACATTTGGGTCTGTAGCCTCAGAGGTTTTCAGCTCTAGCACTCCGGAGTTGTGAAGAATAAGTTGTAGATTTAAGACAACCACAACAGCTCTGACTGTTGTGATAGAACGTTTGATGAACAAATATTTTTACCATGTATAACTTGAGCAACACACTTCTAGAGATTCCCTCCTAAATGGTGTTCACCTGCTATTCACCAGCAGTTGCAGCTCAGTGAGATCTCACTGGTTGTCTCAGTTCAGGGGCTGCAGCTCACGTAGACTCAAACAGCTGAAAAAAAACAAACCCAAAAACATAGGCTGCATCTGAGTATCATGCAAGAACGATGATATCCCAGCATTCATTTCACCGAAATGAGTGTTGTTTGTTTGTTTGTTTGTTTTATGACAGAGTTTGGAAATTTAGCACGGACTGAAGAATTTGTTTTTAAAAGCATGTTGAGCAACTTAGCCGATGAAATTTTGCTGCAATGAGATGTTAAATAAAATGCAACTACAATGACTAATACTGGAACTAAACCCAAATTATTCATGTTTTTTTATTTAAGTGTAATGATTTTTAATAATACTGAATTTATGAAGTTTTACCTCAGTGAATACATTCTCCAACTAAAGGGATGCAATATAAAACATTACCATGATAACGGGGCAGCTTGTGGACTAGACCGTCTCCTGTCAGCCGACACTAATGGCCAACGACACAAGAAGGGTGCGACTGTGGTCTGCATGGGCTGCAACCTCTGAAATGGGACACAACTACTTAGTAATCTTGTTTCTCTGTACTTTGACATCCACAATGTGGATAATTTCATCACTTTTTATAATTTTTTTTATTTTGGGTCCCCATTAGTTTCTGCCGAGGCAGAGACTACTCTTCCTGGAGCCCAACACACAAAATAAAGCATCAAAACAAAACAACACAATAATAAACTATGGAGCCCGCATGGGGACATGGGGGATTTTATTTCTCTTTGCCTTCCCATGCAAAAGTATTGCGTTACCTCGCAATACCTTTTGCGTTCCCTAGCAAAAAGTTGTTAAATGCTGTTGTGCCTGCCAGTTTATTAACAAACTCACGTTTACCATTAGCGAGTTAGCCTTCTGCTTTAATTCAGCTTCAGAATGAATATATCACACAACCACGCATGGAATTATGTCATATGCCGATATTTTAACACAGTGCAGCCACACAACATCAATGTCAATTTCACAAACTTGTGGCGACATATCCTGTTTTGGTAACCGATATTTCAAAATAAAAGTATGATTTAATTCAGTTCATATACAAATCAAACTTTTGCGTGGGAACGCAAAACAATATTGCGAGGTAACGCAAAAGTATTGCGAGGAAACGCAAAGGTATTGCGAGGGAACACAAAGGTATTGCGAGGGAACACAAAGGTATTGCAAGGGAACACAAAGGTATTGCGAGGGAACACAAAGGTATTGCGTGGGAACGCAAAGGTATTGCGAGGGAACACAAAGGTATTGCGAGGGAACGCAAAGGTATTGTGAGGGAACGCAAAGGTATTGCGAGGGAACGCAAAGGTATTGCGTGGGAACGCAAAGGTATTGCGAGGGAACGCAAAGGTATTGCGAGGGAACGCAAAGGTATTGCGTGGGAACGCAAAGGCATTGCGTGCGAACGCTAAAGTATTGCGTGGGAACGCAAAGGTATTGCGAGGGAACGCAAAGGTATTGCGAGGGAACGCAAAGGCATTGCGTGCGAACGCAAAGG